CTGTTCACCTGTCCTACTACCTGTGTGTCGGGAATCTGCTTGCAGGGCTGAGATTATACTGCCCAATGGAGAAGTGCGTTCCATCGGCATGTTGCTCATGTAGCCCCGCACACAAGCATTGATGAGCATTCACGTGTGCGCAGTTGCACACATATGCACATACACATTTTGATGTGACTTCTTTTGTTAGTTGACCTGCCTACCGTTCTTATATGCACCACCAGGGGACTAAACCTTTGTTTCCTTTGAATCCCTTCCCAGTGGAAGGCGTGTGCATGTGGGTTCAGGACAGAGAGGACTGTTCCTGTCCGTGCTCTTGAATGACGGGCTTTTAGAAGTGATGGTTGGTTCCGTGTACATTTGTGGCGTGTTTGCTCTAGATCTGTGACATGTGCTGTTGGTATTTTAATGGGGGTCGCATGGAATCTATTGATTGCGTTGGGTGGTATGGACATTTCCATGGTTAATCCTTCCCATCCATGAACCCGGTGTATTCTCCCGCTTCTGTGTATCTTCCCCTCTCTCTTTCATCAGCGCCCTGTAGTTTTCTGAGCGGCCTGTTACCTCCCTAAGTTTATTACAAGGTACCTTTTTTTGTTTTGGTGGTTGCAATGGCAAATGGGATTGTGTTTTTAGATTCTCTTTCTGAGAGTTCATTATTGGTGTACAAAAATGCCCTCGATTTCTGACTGTTAAATTTGTAGCCCGCTACTTCGCCGAATGCATTTTTTAAAAAGTGAGGATTGGTTAGATTCTGAGAAATGTGTCTTCTCTCCAGTTAGAGCAGATTCTGTTTTGTCCTTTCCGTTCATGTCCCAGTTTTCACGGATGCGAGAATATTCTGTGAGGAGAGAGTATCCCCCAAATGGCTAGTTTCTCGGAGGCAGATGGTAAAGATTTAGTATCAGGAAGCGGGCTGTCTGGAACGGAGGCTTCTGCTTCTCTAAACTTGGAAACGGACTCTCCTGGAGCAGAGAACTCCCCTGTCATCCAGGACGGCAGCGATGCCCGGAGGACTGTCAGCTCCATCGCCGCGGAAATGGCTCATTCATGAAAGAACGGCCACTTGGAGCATGTGGGGTGCACGCTGTGCGTTCCTGACCCCGTGCTTCCGTGTGGTCTCAGCTCTTAATTCTATTAGAGGTTTAGGTACAGGATTACCAGTGGTACGAACACTTTAAGCAGCATACATATTTCACAGTTCAACACGGTAATAAAGATTCCGTATTCGGAATAACAGATACTCCAGGAACAGCCGAATGACTGGTGAACAAGGCGACATCAAGCCTCGATCTAAAAATCACTATTGTTTCTTCAGAAGACAACCTCTCTTTTCTTGGGGTAAAGGAACAGTCTTTTCCACCTTTGGACATATAAGTCCCCAGAAAAGTGCATAAAAAGAAATTTGTTAAATGATGGAAAAGGGTCTCCTTTTTCTCTCCCAATGAAATACAGTGAATGAAACAAAGAAATAGTTATAAGAGGCCAGATAGTAGTTGTGAAATAACTGAGTCCTTAGAATAGTCCAAACTTAATTCGTTGAGGGATGTTTATAGATTGATCTCTCTCTCTTTTGGGTGCATTTTAACTCCTTCCTGCCCTCAGCCTCTCAGTCCGCCCTCTGGAATCAGCGGAGGTGATGGAGTACCCAGGCCTCCTCGGGTTGAGTTGGGAGGGAGCGCGCCTGGGCTGGGCGGTGCACACCGCCTGCAGGAGGAAGGTGGGGGGTAGGGGGGGAGCCCCAGCAGGCTCCTTTGGGCGAGAGGAATGGCGCACAGGTGCAGTGCAGCGGGGCGCACCTGCATGGGGCTCCGGTTCAGGAGGCCGCTCTGTACCTGGGGACCTCCAGGCACCCTGTCTGCTCTCCCTGTCCCTGGCGCAGCCGGTGGTGAAGGATGGACGGCAGCCAGGGCTGGCCCTTGGCTCTCTGCTCCACTCATTCCTGGTGCAATTGAACCAGAATGACTGTGGTTCCCCAGACAAATTGGGCTCCGGGTGGGAGCGCTGGCATACATCACCCTGGAGGCGCCTGGCTCTCTCCTGGCGGCAGCCTCCCCGAGAGAGCGATGCACTGCACACCTGCAGGGTCACCTGGCCCCGCCTGCTCTCCTGCTGTCTGTCTCCCGAAAGCGGACGCAGCAAGGTTTAGGGGAAAGGAAACCCAGGTGCCGACGTCCAAATGATCCTCTTCATGTCGCCCCGTGTCAGGAGGTGCTGTGAGGCCCAGCGATCGGTGAATGATTCCTCAGCATCTGGAAAGAAAACCTATTTCGTGGTTCGGTTCAGGGCATTGTGCACGGTCGGGCCAGCTAACTCACATTTTTCACATATAATGTTAGGATGTGTTAACATTTAACATGTTTGTGCCGGAGGCTTCGAGTCCCTCAGCAGTACCTGCGGGTGCCTCCTTTCATTGCTTTTACAGTGTTGTTTGTCCCCATTAAAATGTGTTTATTTTGTTTCAGGTTATTTGGTTGCATAAATCATATGGAGGCAGAAACTCTGGCGTTTCCCTCCTGGTGGAAAATACACACAGGACGTGTTACTCTATGCTTATATTTAAAGACACACAGGAAGCGTTACCCTGTGCTCCAATTTAAAGATGAAAGTTCAGGCACGGCACACGCCTGGCTGGGCCCTGCGCGGTTAATGGCGAATGCCATCACAAGTAGCTCTTCGCCCCTTTGATTCATAAATGCACTGTATCAGCAAGTCCTTTCACACATGTAGGCTAGGCTGGTGTGGATTTTTAAAATATAAATATAAATATTTTGCTAGACACTCTACCCATGGTATTTCACTGGAGGTAAATATGATGTCCATTTCCCACATTAGAAATCTGACACTTGGAACTGTAAATGACTTACCTCAAGTCACACGGCTGGTGGGTCGTAGAGCCAGAATTTGCATCGGTCTCTCTGGTGTTTCATCCTCACTGTCTCGTGTAGGAGTAATGTTGATACAGAGCAAATCAGATTTTCAATTTGATAAGTGATAGGAAACAGCAGTGAATGTGTTTTTAAAGTGACTACTTTCCTTTGTAAAGATCTGTTTGTAACTTAGATTTCCTGTTTATTTTCTTCCAATGAGGTACACCCATAGTGACTTGGCTTGTATTAACAGATGCCTGATACAGATACGCTCTTTAAAAAATATCCTATATAATAAAAGGCTAATATGCAAATTGTCCCCTTGACCAGGAGTTCGACAGACTGGGAGTTTGACAATTTGATCAGGGGGAGGGGCCAACCGGCCAACTGCCTGTGGCCCTTCCCCTTGGCCAGCCCCGCCCCTGATCACCCCCCCTATTGGGGGCGGGGCTGGCCCGCCAACCGCTCTCGGTCCCTCCCCCCAGCTGACCCATCCTGATTGGTCCCGATCAGGGTGGGCCAGCCGGACCCCACCAGTGCACGAATTTGTGCACTGGGCCTCTAGTGTGTGTGTGTGTGTGTGTGTATTTATTGATTTTTTTTTTGATAGGGAGAAGGGGAGAGAGAGTAACATCGATTGGCTGTCTCCTGCACACCCCCACCCGTTAATGAGGCTGGAGCCCACAACCTGGATAGGTGCCCTGACTGGGAATCGAACCGGCGACCTTTTGGTACACGGGATGATGCCCAACCAACTGAGCCACAGTGGCCAGGGCTGGTTAGATATGCTCTTGTTGGTAGTATTTAACACGTTAAGCGCCCAGCCTGTTTTGTCTTCCGGACGCAAAGTATAGTGTCAGTCACCAGTGACTGGTTGCTTAACGTGTTAATATTCAAAGTTTTTAGGAAGTATGATGCAAACGTAAATTAAACATTTGCCTAGTTCAGGCATAAAAACTTAAGATACTGTTGCCTTGAGGTGTTTCAAGGAAGACAGCGCTCCTAGCACCATAGTGTTTGTAGCACCCACTCAGCCTGAGACGTGTGGTCCGAGTAGGTCTGGTCTCTAACACAACGCTGAGAAGCAGTTCCTGTGGCAGAGACGGAGTGGCGTTGATGAGGATGGCAGTGATCCATTTTTCCGACGTCAATCATGCTTCAGAGAGAAATTAGCAAAGGTAATTGGACTGACTACCCATGTACATTAGGGCTGTAGCCCAGACCCATGAGCACTAGCCTTTCTCACAGGCTGGACAGTGAGTCACATCTGTTCCAAGAATACAGACTGTCCCTGACATGACATAATGGGACTGTCACAGATACAACACACGGTGCAGCTTTTCCTTTTAATCACCGTCTGAGAAAAAAGTCTTTTCTCGCAGCTGGTCCTCCTCCTCGTCCATTTGCCTTGACTAGACCTCGCGCCCAGGGGTTGGAGGCGTGGAGACAACAGGCGTGGTCTGTCTCTCACCGCGACTGTGGTTCCCCCATTTAATAATCTCTGTGCCATGAACATGCGTCACACCAACAGGGACGCTGTCCCCCTCGTGTGCCGGAGCCTTCCGAGCCGGCTAGGCCCTGGGTCTGAATGAAGTCGCCCGCTTAAATAAGTCAGGTTATGGAATTACTCTCGCTGGAAGAATAGATTCTAAAGCCGTGATGAGTTTCAGGCGGCTTAAGTGTGGCTGGCAGGCAGCCATCCATCACGGCCGGCGCGACATTGATTTCTGACTCGGAGCAACGGAACGGCGCCGGGACTGGGTGTCCTTAAGGAAACATTCTATAGCATCGACGTCCTTTATTTTTTAAAGAGCCGCTGCCAAAACTCTGTTCGGATTGAATTTTGATTGTGCTAATGAGGAAATCTATTCACCGTCAGAGTCAAAACATTCATTATTGTGAATTACTTGAGCAACTATTTTTGCCGCTCGTTCTTAAAGACACGAGTTGTTTTTTATTCTAGACGAGACCTCTTTTTCTTTTAAGCAAAAAATTACAAAATGCCACTTAATTACATTTAGTGGGAGCACTCAAGCTTCCTCATTGTGCGGGTTAAATGGACCATTGAAACAAAATCAGTTGATTTGGCTCTCTCTCTCTCTCTTTTTTTTTGTCCTACATTTTCTCTAGTGATTACGGCTCTCAGCGACTTGCCAAATTGATGGGACTTGGCAGGAGAAAAATAAGCAGTTGAAAATGCGGGAGATGAAGTTTTCCGGGTTTCACAGCATCACTGCGCTAAACTGCTGACGTGGAGCGAGACACGCTCACCTGTGGCCTTGCTGTGTGTGCACGCGGGTGGTTTCGGGGGGCCATGGAACAGTGGGATCCTTGCACTAAGTGAGCTGCTGTCACTCGTGACTTGTGTGATTCCCTTGGCATTTCATTGTCTAAAACCATATCCCACTTCACCATTGTATTTGTTACTATTATAGCAGATCCAGGTGCACGCGCTGTCAGACTCACTCCTCAATGCTGCCTGGTGGGCCCAGGTGTGGCTGTGACAATGCTTCTGTCCCTCAAGGCGACTCGAAATCCTTCGGTGCTTCGTTACTTTATTCTTTTCACTGGTTTCCACTCGCTGCGTAAGGGGGGCTGACTGTAATGAAAAAAGCCAGATCTGATGGACAGCGTCAATGATCAGTTGTCCGACCCCCTGGCCTACGCTAGCTCTGGCCACAGAGCAGTACTGCCTGGGAAATTGGGGTCAGGCAGACCCATGTGTCCCCCCCAGTGCGGTCCCCTGTCTTCCTACCACGCCAGCTGCAGGGGCCTGAGGGGTGCTTCACGCTGGTCCCCAGCCGGCTGGGGTTCTTCATCATCTCACACACTTGGGCTCTCCATGCCTGGTGTTAAGATCCATTTTATTCCCTTCCTGACACAGAATTTAAACATACTCTTTTCTGTCACTTCCACAATGTCAATATATGACTAGCTGACTAATCCGATGAATTGGTTAAAGAGGATGTGTTCACTGATTAAAGGTCATAACTTGCACCTGAATTAATTCTTTCATTGTTTTAAACCCAATAAACGAAAAATCCAAAAGAATATTATTGTGAGTTGAACTTAAGGGGACTAAACTATATAAATATTTCCTAACTCTTTCTTAATTTGCCTTTCTTAAGGACTGTGTTAGGCTAGGCTAGATATATTATCTTTAAAAAGTGGTGTTGTGACCATTCTGTCGTGCCATGCTGTCTGATTGGTATGCCAGACTTCTCATTTGAATTCCACATTTGTTTTCTTTTAAGATGAAATATGAAGTGTAATTATAAAAAGTGTCTTTGAAATTATAAACACTTTATGAATATATTCACTCTATCATCAAAACTATCATAAAAGGAAGAGTAAAATTAGTTTGTCATCTTGTTGATCTTCCTAACTTTGTAAGGAATAAGTTTACAGTGGTTGCTTTAATAATACAAGCGATTGCCCAGCCAGCATGGCTCAGTGGTTGAGAGTTGACCTATGAACCAGGAGGTCATGGTTCGATTCCCGGTCAGGGCACATGCCTGGGTTGCGGGCTCAATCCCCAGTGTGGGGCATGCAGGAGGCAGCTGATCAGTGATTCTCATCATGGATGTTTCTATCTCTCTCTCCCCCTCCCTTCTCTGAAATCAATAAAATATTTTAAAAAATAATAACGATACAAGCGACCTATGCACCACGGAGTCGCAGAGTGGAGCAGGTCACCAATCCCTCAGGCTCGGAAAGTCTAGCCATCCCCGTCCACACTCAGAGGGGATACATCTCACATTACAGTTGTCATCTCTCCCCTCTCACAGGATCTGCATGTTGAAATATTATGGTAAAATAATATCATTTCTCTAGTGGGTGAAGAATTATTGTGCCCTAACTAGGAATTTTTTCGGGGACTGAGACAAATCCTGCTGTGAGCAGTTTTGAAAATGCTTTACAGGCCCACGTGCTCACCGGTGCACATGCCCCCAGAGCAGTGCCTGCCTTTCCCATGCAGTTCACAACCCCCTTCTGTTCCAGTACATTCCAATACCAATGCTTGGCATGCTGCAGAAATCCGAGTCTAATCCCCAGTAAACCCCAGAGCATGCAGTCCCCTTTGCATTGCAGCACAGGTAAGATAAAAATCTCTGACTAAGCTATAATATTCTGTGCAATTTTACATGTGTACTAAGTATTCAATCATGCTGTTGATGTGTGTTATGTATATTAGCACATAAACATAAAGCTGCGGTATCTGATAATATTACAGGATCTATAAACTCTCTCTTCCCATGAAAATTATGATACTGTATTTTTCTATTCAGATTACAGATAACAAATCACACGCACACACACACACGCACACACACACACACACCCCTTCCTCACCACCACCTATACGCAGGGATCATGTAGAATACTTCCACATAATAACCCATTCAGTCTTCATAACAGCTGTGAGGCATGGCTTCCAGTCCCCATTTGAAAGATGCAGAAATGGGCTCAGAGAAGTTAACCGACCTACCCAAGGTCACAGAGCAAGAGCCTAGGGCTCAGACCCCAGCCTTTCGGAGCCAACTGCTAGACACCCTCTGAGAAAAGAGAAAGACAAAGAAGCATTAGATCAGAACTGATATAAACGGGTGCTATTTCCTCATAGAAATAAAATTACAATATGAGATGATAATCCTTATCACAGGGCTGAAGCTAAAGGAATCTGGAAAAATAGTAGCTTGCTTAATTCACTGTTTTATAGACTAGAACTCATATAGTCCTGGGACATCTAAAAAACTGACCTAACATAATCATCTCTATGTTACACATTTTACCACAATAAAAATTTTAATTTAAAAAATACGTAAAAAAAGGACAAAAAACAGTCATCTGGATTCAGTTCTATGGAGGTTCCTATTCCGAGGTCCTCCCCAGCTACCACAGCCTTCGAACAGGGCCCCTGCCTTATTTCCATGGAAACACAAAGGGGCAGGGTAAACAGGCAGAGGGACACTGAACGCGAGGACACGGAGTTCAGCAGGTATTTGCAGGGAGACGGGGTCAGGTATCCACTGCCCAGGAAGTTTTCTGAGCCGCGCTCTGTCCCGGGCACAGCGCAAGGCAGGAGAAGCCCAAAAGATGAAGCCAGGCCCTCCTCTTTGAAGAGGTTCCATCTGACAGAAAAAAGGCCATAAAAAAGCAATCACCAGATCAAATATGAAGTGCTCTCAGTATGAGTCTGAAGAGCAGAAGGCCTTAGAGGCGATGCTGGGTGAAATAGACAACAGCCTGAATTTCCCCAGAGGGACACGCCAGAGCTGCACCGAGGAACCCACCCTGAACAGCACCCAATGCTCCTCGCTTTGATCTCTTTCATTTAGGATTCCTGCACAATGTCCAAAAAAAAAATCAAACAATTTTAAAGCTTTGACTCGAATAATGGCAAATATCAAAGGTCCAAATGGATACAATCAAGGCTTTCTGTCCCAGCTATAAAAATCCATCGATTGCTGTAGCCATGATTGCGGGAAGGGCTGCTTGCCTTTTCATCTGGGCGGTGGACTGGGATGTATCACCGAGACTGAATCCTCAACCACAAACACATCACACACGGTACATACATATCATACATCAAGGCCTCGCACATCACGTGAGAGCCGCCCTTCAAAGTATGTATACTGGACAGGCTGTCTCTGTTTCAAGGGCACGGTCACTGCCACTCTTAGAATCCTCTGGGGGTGACTGTCGCCCCCCCAGCTCCCCAGCTCCTCGGAGAAGCAGTCCCGCTGAATGTCACTGGACACTGACGGTCAAAGGGGTCTCTTCTGCCAGCCAGACACATGTCCCTCCCTCCTTCCACCTCTGCCTCTCTGCTTTGATTCCTTCAGCCTTTTGGTTTGTTCTCAAAACTAGTTTTTTATTCTCTGGTATTCCGAGGGGGACCGCTAGTTAAACCACCCTTATTCATAGCGAGTGGGCACAGCACCCAACACCCACCACGCTGCCTTCCTCCTCATGCTCCAGCCCAAGGACCCCCCGCCATGCAAACTATGACTGGCCCCCAAAACTCAGTACTTGCTCTTTTGTCTTCTTCAGTCAGGAACAATGGTCTCACGCAGAGTCCAGGCAGCGCTTTTATGTATCACTTGTACCACTCAGCTTTGGTTTTAAAGTCTCACAGCAAGGCATTCATTAGACCCTATCCAACGTGTCAATATGTCATCAGAATTCCTTCAGGTGATTAATCACTCACGAAAAGTACAATTTTCATCGATGTGGTTTTTTTAAAAATATTTTTTAATAGTCCAAGTAATGAGAATGGTGAAGGCAAGAAAGATTTCTCCCTATTACATAGCTCATTATTGACTGGAATTCCAAAACCACAGTAAGTGTGTAATTAATAACCCCTTTACATTATTTTATTTTGTGACTGAACTACCACAATGATATTTAATTATGTCCCAACCCAGAGCACGACATTGCTACTGGCAGGTTATGAGATGTTCCTTAGAGCTAAGAAGTCTAATTACAAAGGCCTTCTCCCAGGGGCTCACAGAGTGTGGCGAGGAGGGAAAAAATGATCTTCCGGGTGTCAGAAGGGGGGCTTTAAAACAAAGCATGTAGCACAAAGTCAGATGGGTGGGGCACAGTGTAGGTGGGTCAGGTGGATGGACACAGTGTAGGTGGATCAGGTGGATGGGCACAGTGTAGGCGGATCAGGTGGCTGAACACAGTGTAGGCGGATCAGGTGCATGAACACTGTAGGTGGATCAGGTGGATGGAACACAGTGTAGGTGGATCATGTGGATGAACACAGTGTAGGTGGATCAGGTGGATGGAACACAGTGTAGGTGGATCAGGTGGATGGAACACAGTGTAGGTGGATCAGGTGGATGGACACAGTGTAGGTGGATCAGGTGGATGAACCCAGTGTAGGTGGATTAAGTGCAGGAAACAGTGTAGGTGGATCAGGTGGATGGGCACAGTGTAGGCAGATCAGGTGGATGGAACACAGTGTAGGCGGATCAGGTGGATGGAACACAGTGTAGGTGGATCAGGTGGATGGAACACAGTGTAGGCAGATCAGGTGCAGGAAACAGTGTAGGCGGATCAGGTACAGGAAACAGTGTAGGTGGACCAGGTGGATGGAACAGTTTAGGTGATCTGGGGTAAGCAGGTGTGGGAGGCGGGGCCTGGAGTAAGAGGAGGAAATGGGAGGGTTGGTCTGGTGCCACACTTGGGGCCTTGATATGAAATACTAACATAGTTACCTTTTCTCCCCCCCAGTGTGGTTGGCTGCAACTGAAGTTTCATGGTTGCTAATATGTTGCTAATATGTTAGCATTAATCTATAATAATAAAAGTATAATATGCAAATCGACCGAACAACTGAACAGCAGAACTATTTGTTCTGCTATTGGTTGGCCATCGCCCCAGGATCACGGGGGAGGGGGATCCGAGATTGGTCACCCGAAAAAGAGAGGCCCAGGCCACCAGCAGCGGGGCGATTGATGGGGGGCTCCACCATCACCCCACAGAGGGAGGCCCAGGCCATTGGCCAGTGATGCTGTGGTGGGTGTGCAGGGCTGGCAAGCAATCGCCCCGTAGAGGGAGGCGACTGGTGGTGGGGGAAAGGGGAGTGCTGTTGCACAGATGGCAAGCAGTGGCAGCGGAGGGAGCAGGCCAGCTGCCGACAGCTGGGGAAAGGAAAGCCCTGATAGGCCCTGATCGCCGGCCAGACCTAGGGACCCTGCCGGAGGGGTCCCGGATTGCGAGAGGGCGCAGGCCGGGCTGAGGGACACCTCCTCCCCTCCTGTGCAAGAATTTCGTGCACGGGGCCTCTAATATGTAATAATTAGATGTGGGAGCAGTAGATTTTTAAAAATTAGCTATCTCAAACCAAGTACCAGTATAATCATCTAATTATCCTTTGAAGAATTTACACAGAAATGCTTTAAACATTCACTACTTTACTGCCATGGGGGGTGGCTCCCAATCTGTAGTTTAGAACTAATAGCACTTATGGAAATAGAGCAAGGAGAACC